TCCTCAAATGAATAAACTTGTGGCCTTGGCCTCATTAGTTGTGTGGAGTGCTCTGAGTTAACAAGTTGTAGCCTAAACAATTCATAATTGTATTCACATACTACAAATACCCTGAGCATCTTTGTGCATAAGGAAATAAATAGTCCTCATCTTTCATGGCTCAATGTCATGTCTAGGAAGGTGCTTACAACTATTCTTTGTGTGGAAGAAAGTCATGGGCTACTGGTCCAAATACCAACCTGCTTTCAGTGTCTTTCTCCCCCTTCAGGACCTGAGCCTTAGTCTACTCGTCTCCTATACTTTTTGGTTACAGAGAGAGCTCAGGCTATTGACTGTCAAAAATTCAGACTCCAACTGAAGTATTTTCCTCATGGTGCAGCTTAAAGCAGTGATGAGTGATGATGGCAGCTTTCCACTGCAACGGCAACGCAACCCAAGCCAGTACTGAAGCTGCAGTCCACCGGGAACTGCTCAGCGGGCACTTGTGGAGGGATCACAGCCTTCAGTCCTGCGCTGGCGATTGTGCAGGCAGTGCTTCAAGCTCTGCTGTTTAAACCACATTTTGCATCCTTTGTATACTTCGTAAGGCATGGAAGAGAAACTAAGTGTGGAAGAAGCAGTTCTGCCAAGAAATCCCAGGGCTCTGCCTAAGTCATCTAACCTATCTGGGTCTCAGATCCTGTAACTATAAAATTAAAGTGTTGGGCTAAGGGGCAATCTGGTGGCTCAGTCGGTTAAGCCTATATCTTCGGCTCAGGCCATGATCTCGCGGTTCGTGGGTTTGAGCCCAGCGTGGGGCTCTGTGCTGACAGCTCGGAGCCTGGAGCCTGTTTCGGATTCTGTCTACCTCTCTCTCTCTCTCTCTGCCCCTCCCTCGCTTGTGCTCTCTCTCCCTCTCTCAAAAATCAATAAATAAATTTAAAGAAAAAAATAAAGAAAGCATTGGGCTAAGTGACCTTGAAGTTGCCTTTAAACTCTGAGAATCACCTGCATAGTGATTCAGGTTATTAATCAGTAATATCTTCCCAAGTAGTTAGCCATGGTGGCAGAAATACCACCATTAGAGCAAAATTCCTTCTGATGGGATTGCATATATAGTGGTTTCTGATTAAAATGTAAATCTCCATAGAAGTACTAATCTATCGTTAGCTATTAACAATTGATTACATCAATTTTCAAGTGTTGGGACAAACCAGCTACATCTTGAAGTGAGCAAATGAAGGAGGGAAGATCTAGAACATGGTAAATCTGACTGGTGAAGAAAAGATCAGATGCAGCTTTGCAGGGAGAACTGTCAGACAGGGGGCAGTTTACATGGATCTTAGGGAATCCCAGGGAAAGGAGCACCATGATGAGGAAAGATGGATGGTAAAACTCGAAGTCGGAGGGTGCTCAGGTGTATTTGACACTGGGGCCCAGAATCAATATGCCCCATAAATGGGGTAAGTAGATAGAAAGCATAACAAAGTTCACTGTCTAAAACCCAGAATATTTTTTTATTCTAATTCAAGGTCTTACAGAGCATGCTCTAGATATATTCCAATCCTTAATATTAAGTTATTAAGATAAAATCAAGGCAAGTTTCTTGGTGTAAGATTAAGGCTATATTTCAATGTTTATTTCATAAAGAAACCATCAGAGCTTAATCTCAACATGCCTAAAGGAGATTTACTTCTAATTTTTGAATCAGAGAATATAATGGAAAGTTTTAAATAGCCGTGCCCACCAGACATTAAGGCCAAGTGGTTTTTTAAATCTGGTTTTACTTTTTTCCATTAAAGCGTTCTTGTGGAAACTACAGCGCATACACAGGTAGCTCAAGCTCAAGTTTGGGTTCATGTTTCCTGGAACTAATACGCTATGGAGATTGGAAGGTTTTATTCTCAAAAAGTTTTTGGAGTATTTCAGTAAGTTCTTTAATTTTCTTTGCATAAATAAACTAAGTGGAATTTCTTCAAATGAAGTGTTATATCAAAAAAGAAAGTGACCCAATACAAGTTAACACTTATTTCATATCTGTATCGCCTTAACCAATCATAGAGTGTTCTATGGTCTAATCAATTTGGAACGTACAAATCCAGGCTTACCATTAACAGCTTGGCTGGAAATCACTAAGTGCTCTATAGAATATGTAAGCTGGGAAGTGACAGTTTCCAAGTTACATAAAGACCCCCTGGTATCCAATGATGGGAATAAAACATCGAGTTTATGCATTTGGAATGCAGTGTAAACATGACAGAAAATTATAAGGTTACTCCAGAACTTTTGTCTGCTTCCCGTTTTCAATGACTCCAAATCTTGGTTCCCTTCCAAGATTATTTCCCTGGGTTTCAGGCTTGCTTATCTCAACATCTCCATGAGACTCTAAAAGACATTTTAAATAAGGCAGTTCTTGCTCTGCTTGGTCCCATTATCCACAAATTTTAGTCACCAGTGTAGTTATATTACATCAGTCTTCCAAAAACACAGTTCAAATTCCAGTTACCACAGCACATTAACTCTAAGTAACTGCATAAAAATACAGCCTTAACCGCTACGTTGTTAGTTCCCAAATTGCTACATAAATAACAGATACATTTTATCATCAGTGATCAATCATGTCCCTTCTCTCAAAGTCTGCTGGTGACTGGGTGCTGCGTTTTTGTTATTCAGTTAATTCAGTGTATCTGCACAGACAGCAAAGCATGTAGTTGTGTTACCTCCTTGTCTCCCAGTAATAAATCCACCTTATATTTTACAAAACGGGACAATCGAGAGAGGATATTGGCTAACAAAGAAGAAAGTGCAGCAATGAAACAAAAAGTGATAGCTGATAACATTAGAAGTGAAATTAGAACAGAACGAACATGAAGTTATAGAACAAAGAGCTGATCTTGTGAATGTTAACATTATCCCCTTTTGAGACACTCTAGATATGCAGCCAGAGGAGCTTACTGAAGGCAAATGTACTGACATAAATGAGGAAAGTGGTTGTAATGGGAAAGGTGAACATGTCCCAGAGGAAATGATGCCAGTGAAGAAAGTCACATTAAAAAGCTTCCAGAAATTTCACAACATTGGAAGCTCAAAGGATTCAAACTTGGAAAGATTTATGACGATTTTCCAAGTCACAGAAAGATGCTTGCTCCATATTGTAAGCTATATGAGAAGGAAAAAGCAAGCACTGTTCAAAGTTTCTTTTCCATAGGAAATAAACATCTTAATTTTCAGCGTTTCTAATGTTTTAAATTATAGTATCTTGAATACTATTTTTTGCTTTTTCATTTCCCTATATGTTTATAGAGTAAGAGAGCTTTTAAATGCTTACATGGTCAGTTTGTAGTCCCACATTACCACAGGAAGAGAGGACACTGTATATAACAGTTCCAAAACTGAACTCCTGGGTTTCTCTGGAAAACTTGCTCTACCTGCAGTGATTCCCATCTTAGCTCATGACAACTGTGTCCTTCCCTGCTTCTTAGATCCAGAGCCATGGAGCCATCCTTGACTCCTCTCTTCTTTTCATACTTCAGATCCAACATGTCAGCAATTCCTGTCGGCTTTACCAGCAAAATGCATACAGAATCAGATCTCTCTTGATTTCCTCTACTGCTACCACCTTGATCCTGTCGCCATCATCTCCATCCCTCACATTAATTATTCTAAGAATCTCAACTGAGCTCACAAGTTGCACTCTTGCTACTTGCCTCCAGAGTCTCTTCTCAAACCAGCAGCCAAAGTGACTTAGATGAAACAGAAATCAGATCCTGTGAGTTTTCCTAAGAACCAACCAGTGGCTTTCCAGTTCACTCATAGTAAAAATCAAAGTCTGTCTAAAGACCTATAAGGTCTGAAATAATGTGCACCCCTCCCCCACCCCAGACTTTACCCCTGCCATGTTTCTTCTCTGATCACATTCCTTACCTTCTTCTTGCTGCCCTGCACCAGTCACACTAGCCTCTAAGTTGTCTCTGAAACAGGGTCTTGCCTTAGGACTTCACACCCGTTGTTATTTCTGTCTATAATATGATCCCCCAGAGATTTCCCTCATCACCTTCAAATTGTCGCTAAAATGACATTTTCTCAGTAAAGCTGCCCTAACTACCCTAATTAAAACTGTAAATCTCCACCCTTGCCTAATTCTAATTTACATTTCCCCCCAAAGCATCTATCACCTTCTAACATACTGTAAATATCCCTTTTATTACCAGTCTTCCCTTCCATTTTCCCCAATAGAATGGAAGCTCCACAAAGGCAGAGATTTTTGTTATTTTCACTCATGTATTCCCAAGTCCTTAAACGTGGCAGGCACAAACTTGGCACTCAATAAACATTTGCTGAGTAAATAAATGTAATGAATGATGCACAAAAATATAAGGTGTCTCTATACTGTTAAGAAGAAAGAAAGAAAGAAAGAAAGAAAGAAAGAAAGAAAGAAAGGAAGGGAGGATGGGAACAGCAGGATAGATATGCATTCCAACAACTTTTTCTTCATAACCCAGCTCAAGAGGTGTCGAGAAATGTTGCTTAGGGCTTTGAAAGTAGAGACTCCAAGGCAGGCAGGTGGGGACAAGTGTTTCAACAGCAGAAGATTGATAATCAAGAGATACAGCTCTCTCAGATTATCCCGAGAGAAGAAGAGTCTTCCCAAGGAGCTAAGGGTATGGACTATGTGCTTACTGAAGGTGCAGAGAACGAGGGACAGCACATCAGAACAGTCCATATTTGAGACAACAGTGCTGAAAGAAGGGAGATATCATGAGTAATTTAAGCAGCTACAATTAGCAGAAAACTTCAGAGGAGAAATGTTAAAACAGGAGTTTTCAGTTTTCTTGTCAAGTATATGTTGCACCTTTGAGAAAATCTACATTAAAAATCTGCAATATTCCTCACAAATTGTCTAGGATTCTGGAGGAGTCAGTAACTCTTGTTTTATTAATGCAAAACTGTAAAGTTCTAGGCCAGGAAGGGAGTTGGATAGTGCCTTAATTTTGTTTATCACCACAGAATCACAAACTATACCTGTATGCAGAGATTCCCTCACTCCTTCCTGATCAGTATTTTCTCAATAGTATCCTCTATGAAATAGGCAAACCAGACATTCATCCTAAGAGAAATGAAGAGGGAGTTAATTATTGATTTAAAAATGTCAGACAAAAAATGATATTTTACATTGGATGGAAGATAAATACCATGATCTGTTTTATTTAAAATTTAATTTTATCATCCACTTACTTGGAATCCCTGGTTTTCCTTGAGAACATTATTAACCATCATTAAATAAGCAAGTCTCTCAACCTGTGGAGCACAATGTATATATATATAATTGTCCATGTGAGAAGCAGCTCAGTTACAAATCAGCAGCCAAATGTAGAGGATCAGCTACAAGACTTCCAGTTTGGAGTTTGGAGTTGAAACCACTGCTAGTTTTCTGTTCATGATGTCATGATTTATAAGGGTGTCACTCTAGGTCAGGAGGTATACCATGGTAGCATATTTTTCTTCTTCTTTTCTTTTTTCTAAAAAAGTAGATGATACACAATGTTACATTAGTTTCCGATGAGTAACACAGTGACTCGACAACTCTATACATTATGCTGTGCTCACCAGAAGCCAAGGGTTGTCATCATACAACCCTATTACAATACCACTGACTGTATTTCCTATGCAGTAGCTTTCATCCCCATGATTTATTTATTCCAGAACTGAAAGCCTGTGCTTCATACTTCCCTTCACCCATTTTGCCCATGCCCCCACCTGCCTCCCCTGTGACAAGCACCAGTTTGTTCTCTGTATTTATGGGTCTGCTTTACTGCTTATTTCTCTGAGGTGCCCAGTAGGATAACCTGAAACAGAATCATGAGCACCCTACATGTCTGATTCTATAAACACATCATGCAAATTTGGTAATTATCTATCCAGATGTTTCAAGTTGATCCAACAACTGAAAAAAAAAAACCCACATCAGACATTTAATTTTTAATTTTGTTTTCACTTTGGGGATATATTTCATTATACCTGAAACCTAAAAAAAGTACAAAGAATTTTTCAGAACATCATTCCAGTTGGTAATGTTTGGAAAAAGAGTTCCAAATGACACACTGATATAATCTTTACAAATGTATTCATATATTTATGCCTTATTTGATGTTCTCAGTGTAGGTCTGTGTATGTGTGTGCCTGTGTACATTCACAAAATACATCAATTATCTCACTCATTATTTGTTTATTCAACTAATTTGTATAAAGTGCTCAATCCTAGTAGATGGATGTGAGGACAACGAGAACCATCCGTCCATGCAGGAATCCAGATTATGGAGAAGATGGTTGGGGGATTCCCAAGGACACGGGAGATCAGATAAACTGAGGATTTTCACTAAGCAGAGAAGGACTAAATCCAAGTGACTCCAATGCCTTACAAAGCCTCCAGAGGAGGAAGCAGTTTTAGAAACCATTTTTATTATGAAGTTCCCTAAGGAGGATTCTAGCATCCCACCCTCTTCCCACGAGTCTGGCATTGTCCTGTGTCCAGCCACCCCTGGTGAAGGCTGTCTTTCTCCACCACCAGCAGAGAGTAAGCTGCAGATTCTTTATTCTTCTACCTCCTTCCTGGTCCATATTTCTGCTCTTAATGTTTTCTTCTGGGGTAAAAAGGGGAAGAAGGGGAAGAAATAATAATGATACATTAAAGAAGCCACAAAATTTCTACCTTGGATCTGGATTCTATCTTAATTGATCCTTGGGGTAAAACTCTCTGCCATGGAAAGGATATAAAGAACCATATTCATGACTTTTAAATTCATGTCCAAGAAAATATAGCACTTAAATATTCTCAGTCTATGGTAATTTTCATCTCCATACATAATTTAAAAGGCATCATCCTTCAAACATAATTTAAAAAGCAACGGGAGATGGTGAAAAGGTAGGACTTTTGCAGTATGAAAGACCTGGGTTTAAATCCCCACTGTTCTATCTCCTGTCTGTGATACTCTGGCAGATTCCTGAGCTGCTATAGTTATGTTTCTTTGTCTGTGTGAAAGAACTAATGAATCTTGAATATAGAAGAAAGAAGGGTAGAGTTTAAATACACAATGAGGTTTCAATGATTATTTGTTCCTTCCTATTGAACAGATACGGACATGCTCTTTAATTTTCACATTCTTTAAACTGAGGAATGAGAGATAACATTTATTGGAAACTTACTATGTTTCAGGCACTGGGTTAAGTGCTTTCATAATCCATTAATTACATTAATTACATCACATTAACCCATTTAATTCTTATAATAACTTTATGAAATAGGAACTATTGTTATCTTTTTTTAATATATAGTCAAAGTAACTGAGTAATGTAGAGTTGTATTAATGTACCTGAAGTTGAAACTCAGACAATTGGAGTCTGACTGTCCCATCTCATCTATGCCATCATCTGCTAGACTACAGATCTCTTCACCAAAGCACCAAACATTTCTTTCAAATCAGTGTTACATGAAGTTTTAGGGAAAGAATTCTATCTAAAATAGTGAAGCACTTCATTAAAATAGTCCTATCCTGGGGGGAGGAGGGAAGATGGCAGCGTAGGAGGACGCTGTGCTCACCGCGCGTCCTGCTGATCACTTAGATTCCACCTACACCTGCCTAAATAACCCAGAAAACCACCAGAGGATTAGCAGAACGGAGTCGCTGGAGCCAAGCGCAGACGAGAGGCCCACGGAAGAGGGTAGGAAGGGCGGCGAGGTGGTGCGCGCTCCACGGACTGGCGGGAGGGAGCCGGGGCGGAGGGGCGGCTCGCCGGCCAAGCAGAGCCCCCAAGTCTGGCTTGCAAAAAGCGGAGGGGCCTGACGGACTGTGTTCCGACAGCAAGCGCGACTTAGCGGCTGGGAGGTCATAAGTTAACAGCTCTGCTCAGAAAGCGGGAAGGCTGGAGGACAAAGGGAAAGAGAGCTGCTGAGCCCCCTGACGACAGAGCTCAGTTTGGTGGGGAACAAAGGCGCTCGCCAGCACCATCTTCCCCGCCCATCCCCCAGCCAAAATCCCAAAGAGAACCAGTTCCTGCCAGGGAACTTGCTCGCTCCGCACAAACACCCAACTCTGCGCTTCTGCGGAGCCAAACCTCCGGCAGCGGATCTAACTCCCTCCTGCTGCCACAGGGCCCCTCCTGAAGTGGATCACCTAAGGAGAAGCAAGCTAAGCCTGCCCCTCCTGCCCCTGTGCACCTTGCCTACCCACCCCAGCTAAGACGCCAGATCCCCAGCATCACAAGCCTGGCAGTGTGCAAGTAGCCCAGACAGGCCACCCCACCCCACAGTGAATCCCGCCCCTAGGAGAGGGGAAGAGAAGGCACGCACCAGTCTGACTGTGGCCCCAGCGGTGGGCTGGGGGCAAACATCAGGTCTGACTGCGGCTCCGCCCACCAACTCCAGTTATACACCACAGCACAGGGGAAGTGCCCTGCAGGTCCTCACCACGCGAGGGACTATCCAAAATGACCAAGCGGAAGAATTCCCCTCAGAAGAATCTCCAGGAAATAACAACAGCTAATGAGCTGATCAAAAAGGATTTAAATAATATAACAGAAAGTGAATTTAGAATAATAGTCATAAAATTAATCGCTGGGCTTGAAAACAGTATAGCTGACAGCAGAGAATCTCTTGCTACAGAGATCAAGGGACTAAGGAACAGTCACGAGGAGCTGAAAAACGCTTTAAATGAAATGCATAACAAAATGGAAACCACCACAGCTCGGATTGAAGAGGCAGAGGAGAGAATAGGGGAACTAGAAAATAAAGTTATGGAAAAAGAGGAAGCTGAGAAAAAGAGAGATAAGAAAATCCAGGAGTATGAGGGGAAAATTAGAGAACTAAGTGATACACTAAAAAGAAATAATATATGCATAATTGGTATCCCAGAGGAGGAAGAGAGAGGGAAAGGTGCTGAAGGGGTACTTGAAGAAATCATAGCTGAGAACTTCCCTGAAGTGGGGAAGGAAAAAGGCATTGAAATCCAAGAGGCACAGAGACCTCCCTTCAGACGTAACTTGAATCGATCTTCTGCACGACATATCATAGTGAAACTGGCAAAATACAAGGATAAAGAGAAAATTCTGAAAGCAGCAAGGGGTAAACGTGCCCTCACATATAAAGGGAGACCTATAAGACTCGTGACTGATCTCTCTTTTGAAACTTGGCAGGCCAGAAAGAGTTGGCACGAGATTTTCAGTGTGCTAGACAGAAAAAATATGCAGCCGAGAATCCTTTATCCAGCAAGCCTGTCATTTAGAATAGAAGGAGAGATAAAGGTCTTCCCAAACAAACAAAAACTGAAGGAATTCGTCACCACTAAACCAGCCCTACAAGAGATCCTAAGGGGGACCCTGTGAGACAAAGTATCAGAGACATCACTACAAGCATAAAACATACAGACATCACAATGACTCTAAACCCATATCTTTCTATAATAACACTGAATGTAAATGGATTAAATGCGCCAACCAAAAGGCATAGGGTATCAGAATGGATAAAAAAACAAGACCCATCTATTTGCTGTCTACAAGAGACTCATTTTAGACCTGAGGACACCTTTAGATTGAGAGTGAGGGGATGGAGAACTATTTATCATGCTACTGGAAGCCAAAAGAAAGC